TGACACAATTCTGATTACATGTACTGCAGTTAATCAGAAAATTAGAAGCTGGTTTGTATCTGAATGTTTTAACAGCTTCGGCAAGAACCACCGCATCAGGAAGTCCGCTCCATGCCCCGACGACCCCTCTGCGGGAAAGCATTCGGCGGACGTGTGTATGGACCAACGTCTTCTATATTTTGAAGGAATAGCCATGCAAACGGTCCGTCGCAGCAAATTCGATGAAGTCATCTAAGTCTAGGGCACACTTACGGCTTCTTACAACATGGTAGGCTTGAATGAGGTCGCCGCGCAGCTGATTGTAGTTGAGAAGAAACAGGTTTAGTTCAGCCGGCCTGGTTTCGTAAGGCAGTTGACCAAGATGCTTGACCATCTTTGTAGCCCCCGCCAGTACTCTTTCCAGCTGATCCTGATTCTTCTCGAACCAATGTTGTCAGGCGTGGGCGACATACTCTAAGTGAGACCAAATGAATGCCCCGAGGGCTATTCCGAACATTTACTCACCAGTCCGCATAAATCTTCTTCTCTGCGCAAATAACATCCGTGTCACGCATTCAGCTGCTTTTAGACATTGTGATGAAGGTTTAGGAAAAGGGGTTATTAGAACACCGAGTCCCTTCTTTTCCTCAATATTCGAGAGGGCTGCCGATCAGGGAGGTTGTAAGAAATAGTCTGGTCTATCGCGAGTAGAATTAGGAAAATCAAGGTTATTAGAAGAAGAGAATAGGCTCTCCGGAACAGATTTATTTAACTGTTGGTGTTTCAAACAGCTGGGCCAGCTCTTCATTGTCAAAGCGTAAATTGCCCTTAATCGATCAGAAATTTAATTTAAAGTGGCAAGTTGTGTTGGCCGGCCTCATGCTGATCGATTTTTTCCTCTCCACCCGCTGCGTCGGCCTCTCGGGAAATGGTTGACGGGCGTTTTGCCTGTGTGCTTTATGAGTCATCACTCCGTCGAGGGGATCTGATAAACCTGTTCCGGAGAGCCTATATTTCTCTTCTGATAATCTTCCAGGATCTCTGAACTTTGCAAATCTGAAAATCAAGGTGGCTGCAAAAATGCAGCTTAATGATAAATTTCTCTTGAATTCGTGCCAAGGTTATCTACAGGTAGTATTTTCGATGCACTAAACAAAACGGTTTTTCATGTCGCCACAATACTCCCCCTCCCAAATGAACAGATTTCGAATATGGGAAAAGGGTGTGACTTAGACAAGTGTTAGGGATAGTGTGCAAGTTGGTAATGATCAGGGAAACGGATACGACCACTGTATGTTGGGGGTGTAAATGGGAGGAGGGGGGAGCGCAAGGGTTATCAGGAATGAGCGAAGGAGGAGAAATCGAAGAATGTATTGTGACAGGTGAAGAAGGTTGATCTGTTGGGGTGGGTGAAGGCGGGCGGTAAAGGCAGCCTTCAACGGACCAACTGCTATTACTTCAGTGTGGTCAGCACGTGCGATTTTGAAATGCGTCGGTGCGTGACAGGACTCGAAACTGTCCGTCATATGAACGTTGTAGTGGCTTACGAACAATATATACGCGGACAAATACAAAAGAACATTTTAGCAAGCTGGGGTCAAAATACGACTTATTTGCTGGCTCGCGTAGAGGGATGGCTCGGAGATTCACAATTACTTGAAAGAATTATCAGGCATACTCGGTAGCACTCAGATCCGTTAAGCTTTGGGATGACCGGAAGAAGTCGCCGGGAATCCGTGAGGTAGTCCCGTAGGCAAGTTCGGCAGTGGAACACTCTAAATCGGGTTTTAGCGCGATGCGGATACCAAGTATGACTAAAGGGAGATGCTCACCCCAATGAGTAGGGTTATAATAGGCTTGGGACGCTGTTTTGAGTTGACGGTGAAAACGCTCAACTAGACCGTTGGATGACGGATAGTAAGCTATCGCACGTATGCGAGAGCATCCGCGGGGGTCCGTAAGGGCCTCAAAAGTTTAGATTCGAATTATTAGCTTCCGTCGGTGTTAATAGTTGTGGAAACAGCTTAATGGGGAATTCAGTGTCCTCAAAAGGCACAAACGACAGTATCTGCAGCAGCGTTTGGAATCGGAGTTACGACGGACTATCGCGTAAATCGGTTAGTAGTCGTGAGCAAACAGTTGCAATCACGGTATGTTGGCAAAGGACCCACGAGATTTACGCGAACATGTGCAAAATGCGCATCGAGTACAAAAAAGGCCTTAATTGGGACGTTTTTGTGACATACAATTGTGGATTTCTGGGAGACCAAACCTTGGCGAGTCCACTGGCGGACATCAGTGTTCATGCTGGACCAGACGAAATGGTCACCGACGAGGCGCTGAGTAGCCTGGATGCCAGAGTGGGCGAGATTGTGTAACGTAGAAAAAGCATCTCGTGTCATCCCGCTTGATACTATAGGACTAGAGAAACCGTTCGACATGTCTCACAAGATTGTATTGGCCGTGGCGAACAGATGGATGGTTTAATCTGAAGGTTAGTATGCTCTTGTTGTTCAGAAAAATTCGGCTGAAGTAGTTCGGCAATGCACTTCAGGTCTATGGGGTGGCTGGTGATGGCATTAATTCCATGTCCGGATCGACAGTCGGCGACATGATTAGAGGGTCCTTTAAGAAATCGAATTTCCGCGGTATATTGAGAAATTAAATTGAGATGGCGGACCTCACGGGACGAATACTTGTCAGAGGGAGTTGAGAAAGCATGAGTAAGAGGTTTATGGTCGGTGTAAAAACAAACTCTTTGCCTTCAAGGTAATTATAAAAATCCTTAATGGTGAGATAAATGGCAAGGAGTGCTCCATCAAAACTGTTATAACGAGTCCGGGGAGGTGTCAGTTTAGCAGACCAGAAAGATGGAGGCCGGATGTCCATTACAGCCTGTTGCTGGAGGGCTGCCCCTATGACGCAATTGGAGGCATCAGCACCAATGCACAGCGGGACATCCCGTAGAGGGTAAGAAAGGGCAGTCGTTTCCGCAAGGATCTCTTTGGCACATTGAAAGGCGTCCATGGCTGTGGCAGGAAAAATATTCGCGGTTGTTGCCCCGCAAGAGATTTGCGAGGGGTAACATTAATCGAACGTCGTGAGGGATGAAACGTCGGTTAGTTAGTTCACTCAACGGCCAGAATCTATACCATGTCAGATTAAATTGTTACTAATGGCATCCACTATCCGTTTATAAATGTTTACCAAGGTACTTTCACAAGTAATCACGCGCTGATTCCTCATTGCCTTACATTTTACCTACTATACAGTCGATGTTAAATCGAAACTACATCGACTGTGTACATGCTGGCGATCAGTTAGTAAATATTTTATACACTTTCTAAATTGGCAAATTTTTTTCATTTTGAGTACCCAACCTTTCCCCGACATATTGCTGGGCTCTTCTTTGATTTAATGGCACGGGTGTTTAAGCCGAACGCTGATTATTCCCCCATCCGCACTTTCTGTCAAATTGACAGATTAAAATGCAAAACTAGTCTCAGGATTCGTTTATAAATTTGATTTCGTTTGGAAGATGAAGCTTACTCGAGATATGCGAAGGGAATCTTCTACCCTTAATGAGGGAAATCTCTCCATGTCTATTGCCTTGCCTTTCGTCTCAGACTGTCCTCTGAATTCAACTAAGGTAGTCCTTCTTAGATTAGTAGGATCATTAATTTAAATACTTAGCAGGTGGAAAATGTAGAACCTGAATTTATGCTCTGCTATCCCTTTTAAGTCTGAAGTTAGCCCAATTTTCCTACTTCCTACGTCACCATATGCCCTCTCCACCACTATCAGATTCCTTGTAGTTCTTCAGAATTGGGTAGATCATCGTTACAAAATCCCATTCAGGCGCAACTCACAACAACCCCGGCTATCTTTATAAACAAGTGAATAATTTTCTTCCTTAGCTGAACAAGTTCCCAATCTTTCTTGATAATGGTCTGCTCCCAGATTAGTGGAAGACTGGAAGTCTGGATCTCTCTCCGATATTCAAAACGTTCGTGATTCACCTACCTCGCCCTCTCTCCAAAATGATCGTAAGTCTATTTGCGACAATAAATACTAGTTTTTGAATTTCCAACCGTGCTTTTCTCTCATAATGAACATCTACTGGCGGTCGCTACTTACCTCAATTTCAGCAAAACTTTGTTAAATTGCACACACACGGTTCTAGTAAACATGGACGCTTTAAAAGTCCTAAGTCAGGTCACTAACTTTATGAAGTCATACCTATCTCATTAGAAACAAAAGGTATAGCGGATTCTTCCTTTCAAATAAGAGCCCCCTTATGGGTGGTGTTCTTCAAAGTACCAAGCGAGGTGAAAATTTCTTTTTAATCAATTTCAGTGTAATTTTGTCAGCAGTTAGAGAAGTTCAGTCCTCTAATCATGCTGAATATTTCAAATCAGTATACAAACGTGTATATTTTCCTTTCAAAGGTGTGATTTATTTTTTTCCAAGTAAAATTAACCTGGATATATCTGTTCTTTCTGAGTGCGGTTAAACTTTACTGACTGAATGTTCTCGCCCTAAGTGTCACCGCAGGTACTGCTCCTGATAGACCACCATGACTGTGACTGAATGTTCCGCTATCAAGGGCTTATCGTACGTGACCCTAAACCTGAAGCTTGCTTTGATTAACAAAGTATCTTTAATTCCTTGGAAATCTGCTCAAATGTATCTATCGAAGCTCCAAATTAATAGTAAAGGTCCTAATTCGGAAGGACAACATGAACGAAATAAAAAGTAATGTTGGATTGTTCAGGAATCACAACTGTCTTCAAAAAATAACGGAAGTACCTAAAACGCCAAAGCTATATTCAATGAGTTCAGTTCAGTTCAGTTCAGTTCAGTTCAGTTTATTGAGGGAAATAGGCGTAAGCCTTTGAGTACCCTATTTGCAACGTAAAAAATGTGTGGTGTACAGATAGATGTTCTGGGCTGAAATAGTTCGAACACGCCCATAATGGTGGGACAAAATGAGAAGGAGTTACAGGGGTGAGCTCGACTTCTCATCGCTCTTGGTCATTTCGGAACATAAATATGTCCAGATTCTTCTTAAAAATTTGTATAGATGGTGACATCACAACATCTGCGGGAAGCTCATTCCATGGTTTGACCACCCGAACCGCGAAGGAGAACTTCCGCACATCCAGCCGTGCCTGCTGAGTGCGCAGTTTTAACGGGTGACCTCGGAGGTTGGTCGTGGTAGCAAATTCAAAAAAGTCTTCGAAGGCCAGACTGCAATCCAACCCCTTTACAATGCGGAAGGCTTGCAAGAGATCTCCGCGAAGTTGCCTGTAACTCAAAGGAAAGAGGTTCAGATTTACTAGGCGGGTTGCATAAGGAAAGGAGCTTTGACCCCTAACCATCTTCGTGGCTCTCCTCTGGACTTTTTCGAGGCAGTTTTGATCCACAACAGCCCACGGCCTCCAAGCTTGTATGCCGTACTCTAAATGCGGCCGGACGAATGTTCCGAATGTCTTAGAGAAAGCTTCTTCGTCAAAATCCATAAACGCACGCTTGATGGCGTACAGTACGGACATTGCGGTTTTTGCCACCCTCGAACAGTGGGCGGATGGTTTTAGGGAACTCGTTGTCAGCACACCGAGGTCCCTTTGGGCTTCGACCTCTTGTAGGGCTGCACCGCCCAGAAAGTAGCCTCTTGTGCTGGCGGATCTGGCTGTGTTGCCTAGGCGAAGTATGCTACATTTGGCAACGTTGAACCGCAGGAGCCAACGGTTTGACCACTCCTCCAACCGATTCAGGTTCATCTGCAGTCTTTCTTCATCGGCAGGACCCCGAATTACACTCCATATCTTCATGTCATCCGCAAACATTGCAACTTCACAGTCTAAATCTCTTGCGGCATCGTCCACGTAGATAAGGAACAAAATGGGTCCCAGAACTGAACCCTGGGGGACACCACTATCGACCATAGCCGGATCTGATTTTCCCCGACCGACGCACACAACCTGGTGTCGACCCACAAGGAAGTTTTCGATCCATTTAAGGAGTAAACTTGAGCTTCAGAAGTACTTAAAGTCTGTTCATGCAAACAAGCGAGCAAATGAAACCCCGCAAGTCCTTATGACGAGTTAACGCTGAAATACCTCAAAGTATTAATTCGTCACCAAATATGGCTACTAGACAGCACCCAGAAGTTTTAGTATGAACTCTTAAATGGTTCCACGAGAATTTGGTGCAATTGTTTCTGATCTGCATTGTTTCAAGTGCAGTTGGCAGAGGAAGAAAGGGTTTCGCTTGATTTCGTTGATGTGGACGTCCCAGATACAAATGTTTTTGGGATCGCGTAGTGGTGGGCAGTTCCTCAATTAATGAACTTGACGCAATCACAAGTATGTCATTTTCAGTGTAACGAGTGTCATTTTTATTTTGACCCAACTGTGAAAACTCAGCAATCTTGGTGGGATTCTAACCCATGACAAGAAGAAGGCTAGAGTACAGTCAACATTCTAGCCATCTAGACTACGACGTCGCACTGGGGGCTGCGAATTTAATCACATTCGGGGCAAGTTACCCGCCCTGCCTACTGCAACGCACGGTATCCACCAAGTCCGATAGAGTAAGTTGACTACCCAAGTAAGGTTTCCTAAAAAATCAATTTAGAATCCAGCAGATGGCTACCAGGTGATTGTGGAGTCCACTGAGTTTCGTGGTGTGCTTGAAATGCCAGCAAATACTTTACGGTTTCTAGAGTTCACAGTCGACTGCCCATCAAAGTGGGTTCTGTGGTATGTTTGTCAAAACCTTCAAAGCAAGATATCTTTGAAAGAATATGCAGAAGTAGAGAACGCTTGAACATTCTTTTTTTGTAAATGGCCGATTGGGTAATATTTGTAGGCTTGTAAGTGATAAACCCATTAGTTGGACACAGTAAGTAGGCTATCCGGGAAACGAAGATAGAAGTATCCCAATAGTTACAAACCAGTAAATAAGAACAAAGTCGTCAACAGGTAAAAATGCACGTGCTAGTTCTTTGTCTTATTCAAAGTTGTGTCAGGTTATTTAACAAGCATAGTATAACTGATCAAAACAAAACGGACTTAAATGTCACTACAATACTCCCCTCATAGGAGAATGGAGTTCAAAAAAATTATTGTTGATAGAAGGAAAAGGTGGGAGTGTTGTGCATATTGTACAAGTTGGTAACGGTCGGGAAAATGGACATGACGACCGCTGCGCGTCAGGGGAGGAGTCTGTGGGATAAGGGAAGACGCAGGGTTATTGGGCGTAAGTGGATTCTGGGAAATAGCAAGTGGCAATGTGTCGAGTGGAGGTTGTTCGGTTGGGGAAGTTGAAAGAGGCTCGGTGTAAGCCGCCTTCAAGCGATCGACTGAGACGACGTCGGTGCGGCTTCCACCGTCAATTGTAAAATGCTTGTCCGTGCGAGATAGTACTCGAAATGGGCCGTCATAGGGCTGTTGTAGTGGCCGGCGAACGCTATCTACGCGGACAAGTACAAAAGAACATGTTAGTAAGTTCGGGTCGACGTACGACTTACTTGTTGAAGGACGTGGAGGAGTGGCTCGAAGATGAGTCATGGCTTGGCGCAATCCTTGCACATAATCGCTGGGATTCAAGTCGGCTGAGCTTTCAGAGTACCCGAAAAAAATCACCTGGAATCCGTAGGGTAGTACCGTAGACAAGTTCGGCAGCGGAACACTCCAAGTCGGGCTTGAGTGCGGTACGGATACCGAGCATGACCAAAGGCAGATGCTCGCTCCAATGCGAAGAGTTGTCATGAGCTCGGAGCGAGGCTTTGAGTTGCCGGTGGAAACGCTCGACTAAACCATTCGATGAGGGGTGGTATGCTGTCGTGCGTATGCGAGAACATCCAAGGAGGTCGATAAGGCTGTTAAACGTCTAGACTCGAATTGTTGGCCTTGATCGGTAGTAAAAGTTGAGGGGACGCCATAATGAGAGATCCAGTGTTCCAAAAAGGCATGAGCAACGGAATCGGCAGTTATGTTAGGTATGGAATTTACCGGGGGTGGTGGAAAGAGGAATGGCTTCGAGCTGAAGACTAGTGTGTGGAAGGCTGTCAGTGAAAGTCGGTTGGTTTCGCAGCTCTGCCATGCGCTCCAAATCGATGGAAGGGCGGATGATGGTATTAATGCCAGGCTGAGAAAGACAGTCAGCAACTTGATTATAAAGGCCTTTAAGAAATCTAAGGTCGGTGGTATACTGAGAAACAAAATCGAGATGACGGGCCTCGCGGGGTGAATACTTGTCAGAAGAAATAGAAAGGTATAAGAAAGAGGCTTATGGTCAGTATAAATACAAAAATCTCTGCCCTCAATATAATTACGAAAATGCTTAATGGCTAAATAAATTGGAAGAAGTTCTCTACCAAAAGTGCTATAGCGAGTTTGTGGGGGTGTCAATTTGGCAGAGTAGAAAGCCAAGGGCTGGGTGCTAGTGGGCGTCTGTTGCTGAAGGGCAGCACCTATAACGAAATTGGAGGCATCGACCACAATGGAAAGTGGGGCATCAGGTAAAGGGTGAATAAGGGCAGTTATATACGCAAGAGCCTTCCTGGCGTGATTGAAAGCCTCGACAGCTGTGTCAGGAAAAGAAAACTTGTGGTTTTTCCCGCGTTAAAGGTTAGTAAGTGGTAACATTAATTGAGCACAGTGAGGGATAAAACGTCGATAGAAATTGACAAGGTCTATAAAACGGCGCAGTTGTCGAAAAGAAGTGGGAGTAGGGAAATCGCGAATAGCTGAAACTTTGGCATCTATGGGATGACAACCAGAAGCATCTACGCGATGTCCTAGGAAAAACAGCGACTGTACACCAAAAACGCATTTAGAAACATTAATGAAAACGCCAAATTGGCTCAATCGTTCAAAAATGAGACGCAGATGTTGTAGGTGTTCGTGTTCACTGGAACTTACCACCAGAACATCGTCGACGTAGACAAAAACGAAAGGTAGATCGCGGAGGGCTTCGTTGATGAAACGTTGAAAAGTTTGAGCGGAGTTGCGTAGCCCAAAAGGCATCCTGACAAACTCGAACATGCCAAACGGTGTTGTAATCGACGTTTTGGGAACGTCTTCTGGAGCGACGGGTATCTGATGAAAAGCTTTGACTTAGTCAATGTTGGGAAATATGTTGCTCCGGCTAGGCCTAATGAAAAGTCGTGGAGATGTGGAAGCGGATAAATGTTAGGCACGGCGCAGGTGTTTAACCGTCGGTAATCCCCGCATGGACGCCGGTCAACGAGACTTTTTGCCCACCGTATGTAGAGGTGCAGCCCATGGACTAGTGGAAGGCCTGATTATGCCTAGCTCCATCATGTGACTGAATTCAGTCTGGGCTATAGCGAACGTATCTGCGGCTAAACGACGGGGACAGCTAAACACGGGTGGTACAGTAGTTGAAATATAATGAACAACAGAATGTCTGATAGGTTGGTTAAATTGTGAGGGTCGTGTGATAGATGGAAATTCCGGAAGTAAACGATGATAGGGCGTAGACGAAGGGATTGTTGAGATGTGTGGATTAGGTGATGAAAGGGTACGAGTGGAACAATTACAATGTAAAGAAGTCTTAGGGTCAATTAATTTATGGGACTTGATGTCAACGGGGAAACCGAAAAAGGATATAAAATCATCGCCCAGAATGGCAGTATGAACATCAGCGATAGTAAATAACCAACGAAATGAACGTCTTAGAACCAAATCTAGCGTTAGGAATCGTTGACCAAAAGTTTTAATAGAACACTTGTTAGCTGCTTGAAGGAAAAATGAAGAGTTTGGTGACTTACGGTCAGTCAAGGTGGGTGGGATTAGACTAATCTCCGCACCAGTATCCACGAGAAAATTACGACAGAAGGTCCTGTCATAGATGTGGAGTAAGCGACTTGGTGAGGATGTGCCGACCACGTTCGTCGCCCTTACTGGTCTGCAGGGGAGTTTTCCGACGCGGGTGTTTTATACTTGCACGGAGAGTGGCAGCGATGGGCGTTAGAACCATCATTGTGATGATACCAACAGAAATCATCAACTGTAGGTTTGTTTGGAGTGGGAGATCTCGGGCGGCGAGAAATTGCAGGGCTACGAGGGTTATGGACACGAGTAGCCCGGAGCTGGGAAACTTCGAGAGTGAGGGCATCCAGGCGTTTGACGACATCCTCGATTGTGGGGGCAGTTGTGCTTCGACTAGCGACGTTAACCGTAACAGGAGACTGGTAGTACTCGAGTATACGGTCAGCAGTCTCTGCAAGCATCTGAACAGTCAAAGAAGGAATTTTAGGCGCAAGGAGGGCTTGCACAGAAGGAGGTAACCATTGGAGAAAAAGCTGCTTGAATATGGTGGCATCGAGCTTTTGTCCGTCTGCCAACTGCTCCAAGCGCCTATGAATCTGCGTAGGCTTCCTGTCACCGAGATCCTCCTCGGAAATTAAACGTTGCAAACGTTTTTGCGTTGAGAGGGAAATGCGGGAAATGAGAACTTCCTTTAGGGCAATATAAGGGGCTTCTGTGGGCGGGCAATCTATGATGTTGCGGAGGTCGGGGGCGATATCCATTGGGAGTGCTGCCACAACATAGTGAAACTTCGTATCCTCTCGTGTAATCTGACGGAGGGCGAAACGGGACTCCACAGTGCGCAGCCACAACGCGATGTCACCTAGCCACACGGATGGCAGGTCAAATGTGTGAATGCCGGCTATCGGCTGACTGGTAGAATCGTTGGACATAATTAGCCGATATCAGTCAGGGGTCAGATAATTGAGGTAGGGGACTGGCGCGTTGACAGCGAGATTGAAGGTTAGCGCTCGTATTAGATGAAAAGGTGACACAGCGTGACTAGCGAATAAGGGCTGGATAAATAATCTGATCAATAAAAAGTAGAGTGAGGATTAATCCGAATGGAAACAGTTATGCACATAAATGAAACAGCAGGAGCTATG